CCCCTTTCTCCCTCATCTAAGACACCAGTCACCCACGTGGCTCTCTCTGTCTGTCCCTGTGCCCTGGCACCCAGGGTGTGCATGTGTGTACAGAAGGGCACAGACTTGGGTGTGCACGTGTGTACAGCAGTGACTCATAGAGGATGAGCACACCCCGGTTTACTGCACTGACCAGAGTCCGAGTCCTCGTGGGCCTGGCGCACTCAGCCCAGGTGGTCTCGATGCGGGCTGCTTGGGCTCGTCCTCTGCAAAGGCCTCTGAGCTTCGAGAGTTCCAGCTTCACTGGCCGTCTTGCTGGGGCCTCTGCTTCCCTGTGCCCTGGGGAGGGGTGGGCGAGCACGTAACTGAGTGGACATATGGTAATGCTGTGGACCGTGGCGTCCAGGGTGCACTCAGGTGTATGAGGACAGTGGGCCTAGGATAGGCATTCCCATTTGCTGGATGAAGCCAGGGCTTGGGACAGCGGCTGGGCAAGGCAGATGGATTTGGCTGAGTTCTGGTAGAGGCTGGTGTCTTGTCTGGGGAGCTGGACTAAAGGACACAGCCTGGCATTGGGCACTCTCAGCAGTGGGATGGCATCTCGGGTTACATGCCCACAGGCCAGCTGTTCTTTCCAGAGTGGGCTGGCGTGGACGTGGGTGCAGGGTGGCTGGTCTTGGGGGATGCAGGCCTTTAGGAGAGTTAGCGTTACTGGGGTTTATCCCCCGGTTCCAGTCACATAGCAGAATAGGCAGAGGTGTCGGCAGCTCAGAGTCATTGGTTCCAGTGTGGGGGCCAAGGCTGGCCTCTGAGTCACTGCCTCCTGGCCCATGCCCCGCCCTCTGCTCCACTGTTAGTGCATGAAGGCCTGTGTGGGCTCGGCCTGGATCCCCGGCCATGGAGAACCTCTAGTGGCTCAGGCAGGTGGAGGGACAGGCTTTGCTGAGTGGTTCCACCAGGCCAGGGCCTCTTCAGTCTGCACAGAAGTGGCCAGTCTGTGGTCTGGGGCTGGTTAGCCTGTCTTCACCTGGGAAGAGATTGTCGTCCAGAGTCAGCTTTCCCCGCTGGGTCAGGTCCTGCCTGCTGCGACATGCGTCTGTGTGTGCCCTGGGCTGGCTGTAAGCAGAAATGCACCCCCTCCCAACTCTGGGGCAGAGGTCTGGGCCCATGCTGTTGAGAGGCCGTGTCTCAAGACTTGGGGGTCCCGCATGGTCTGCAGCTCCTGGTGGCTCAGATTCTGATGTTGACTCTCTGGGGTCGCCCCAGTGTGGGTCAGCATCTCTGCTTTGAGGACTGCAGCACGGGGGAGAGCCCCGCTCCAACAGTGGGATGTCACACAGCCTGACTGAGGACATCGCAAAGCCCCTGTCCCCACGGCCGGATCCTCAGCAGCCTTCTAAAGTGTGGGAGGCAGCTGGGGGGTGGGGACGGGAGCAGGGGTGTTCTGCTTGGCGGAGGGACTGAGGCCTTACTCAGAGGGGCTGCTTGAGGCGGGGCCCTCACCGGAACCCTGTTTGCTCTGCAGTGAACTTCGACCACTTCCAGATCCTGCGAGCCATCGGGAAGGGCAGCTTCGGCAAGGTAAGGTGGAGCCTGGGGGCTGAGCCAGCAGGGGTGGTTCAGGAAGGTGTGTGGGGGCTGGGTCGACCTGGTTCCCAGGAAGCTGGCCCACCTGCCTGTGGGTGGGGTCGTGACTGTACTTCCTTTGAGCAGGCATCAATGCCGGGGGTGGGGGGCACAGAGGGGACAGCTGAGTGCTGCCTGCTGAAGCTGTTTCCAGGCCAGCACCCTCATTCTTTATGAGCCCCTTAACACGGAGACAACACACCTGGGTGCTCCCTCACGTGCTTCCCCTCCCAGCACGCTAGGCCTGAGCGGAAGGTGGCTCGGAGTCAAGGGTGGTGAGACTGGCACCCTGTGCCCTCTCTGTGGCCTGATACCCCGCCTCCCCGCTTTAGGATGGCCCCCATGCCCCCCCAGGGGCTGTAGGAAAGTCCCTGAGCATTGTCCAGCGGTGGCAGTCGATGCGAGAGTCCCTGTGATTCCGAGGGTGCTCAGTGAGGATGGGCAGATGGCCCGGCCTGGTGCAGAGGCCATCTGCATACGTCCTCCACATCCCCTCCCCCACCCCCCCACCTCCCCCAGGCCTTGGGGACCAGAGCCAGGTCCCCTTCCCCTGTGTTCTCTCTTGGCTGGGTCTACTTCCGGTGGCAGCTGAGAGCAGAGCCATTGTGTCCCAGAAGAGGGTTCAGCGAGCAAGCCTGGCCCCGCCTGGCAGCTCTAAGGGAGCCGGCTCTGAGTGGGTACAACTGTCCCCAGTGTCTGTGGAGGGGGGTCTGGGCTCCGGGGACCTGTGCTGGGGGCGGGCACAGAGTCATGGGAAGGCCTGCTGCTGGCGCTCCTGGGTCTGCTGCTGCCCTTTAGGGCCCTGGGTCCACACTGCTAGTCAGTGTCACAGAGGACAGAGCTGCCCTTGGAGCTCAGCTCTCAGGGCTCCACACAGCCTCTGGCTGGCACTTTGTCCACCATGGAGCTGGCCCTGTATTGTCACTGCCCAGAGGCTGCCCTGTCTCCACTTGGTGCTGTTGGGTGTGAGGTTCCTGGAAAGAGGGGTGTTGCTGGGTGGGGAGTCCCTGGAAAAGAGGTGTCACTGGATAGGGGGTTCCTGGAAAGAGGGGTGCTGCTGGATATGGGGTCCCTAGAGAGAGGGATGCTACTGGGTGGGAAACCCCTGGCCCAAGGAGATAAGGGCTGGTTCTGAGGAGCCCAGCAGCTGATAAGGGGCGGGGGCTTGCTGAGCCATGGCAGAGGCGGGGGTGGGGGTGGGGCTCCAGCTAGGGCCCTAGGCTGGGCCAGGTGGCATCGGTGAGATGCCCTGTGTTCCAGACTGGGCAGAGGCCAGTCGGGCTGGACACTGAGTGAAGAAGCCATCCCCCAACGTGTTAGGGATGTCCTGTTTCCTACTTCAACCTTTTAGAGCAGTGTCCCTCCCAGCAACCACGGCCACCCTGCTCCTGCCCCTCCCTGGAAGAAAGCAGAGGTCACAGAGGCCCCTCCCTAGGAGGCCCAGGAAGGCCCCTGCCAGGCTGTCAGCGGTTCCCAGGTGGCACCCACACTGTGGTCAGCTGAGCCACCTTTCCCGAAGGTCAGGGCTGGGAGGGTGCCGGAGGCTGCTTTGAAGTAGAGGCAGGTTGAGGACCAAGACCAGCCCCCAGGGGTCCTGGTCACAGAACCACAGCAGGTGCTGAGCACCCAGGGTGGGGAGCAGCCTCTCCTCTTTCCTGGAGATGAGGAAACAGATTCCTTGGGGGTGGGGGGGGTTGAGGTGAGTTTATGCAGTGGCGTTGGGGTTGATGGAAGCCTTTCCCAGCCTCCCCAGCACAGCTGGACCCTGCTGCCCAGCACCTTCTGAGCCGCAGGACCTAAAAGCCCAGCGCAGGGACTGGCTATGATGCTCGGACTACAGACCATAGTCAAAGCCCCAAGTGGGAACCCACTGCCCTCGAGTGGACTGTGCCCCTCAGCGGTCCCGGTCCGTACAAGGCTTCCGAGAGCGCAGAAGCGTTGGGTGGTCCCCTCGGGCCTCTGGGACCACCTCCTGCCTCAAGGCCCCTCCCACAGCCCTGTCTATCTGGAGGCTGCGTGTCTGCTGTTGGTCGAGTAGTCTGTGGTCCCTCAAGTGGCTTGGGGTCCCTCACGTGGTCTTCAGACCCTCGAGACTGGGAGCATGGGGTGGAGAGTGCTGCCAGCCTCAGCCGCCCCTCGTGGGGACGGTGCCACTTTGTGACCCACCAGGAGGGGCCCAGTGACGGGACCACTGCCAGTGACATGCACCTCCTTGCTCAGCGAAGCTGGCCAGGCCACCAGCAACCCCCGTAGGAGCCGCTGGCCACCCGTGTGCCCTCCCATCTGTGGGGGACAGGCTGTTACCAGTCGCACTCCCCATGTTGGAGGTGCCTTCTGGGCCGGGCCTCTGGAAGCCTGTGAAAGCCCAGGACGCCCTCCGAGAGCTTGGCGGTCACACTCTCCAGCACAGCTGTCCTCTGCTCTCCTGCCTGGCACTGGGCTCCCTCCCGGAGGTCGAGTCGAGTGGGCACTGCGCCTCCCTGAGGGTCAACTTTTCTCTTAAAGCTGCAAATTGGCATCTTTGTGGCACCTTTGGCAGGAAGATGCGTTTTACTTCTGTAGAGGTCCCCCTGCCCTGGCCCCGCTGCCTCTGGACTTCGCTGTGCTTAGGGTATCCCTGCGCCCCCGAGCGAGGAGTGCACCCTTGCCCACACCTAGCCCCTGGGGGTTACCCGTGGGGAGTGCCGCCAGGTCAGATGGCTTCTCTTCTCCTGGATCACGCTGTTGGTCCTGAACCCTGGGGGTCAAGGACATGCTCTCCAGGAGGAGGGGGCTCTCCAGGAGGGGTTGGAAGGTGGAAAGCCTCTCGGTATGCCTGCAGCTGTTCTGACAGCCCCTCAGGCAGGTGACCCTGGAGTCATGTCCTGGGGGCAGCGGGGGTCCTGCCTTTGACCTGTGATCTAAGACCTGGGTTGAGGGAGGCTCTCTGGGTCCTACAGCTGCCTCCTGACCTCTGGCTAAGGTGGCTCACCTCTGTCCAAGAGGTGCCCCTGTCAGGGGGGTGGGGGTGGGGGGGTGGAACTAAGGCAGGGCAGCCTGGAGGGGGTGTATCAAGGTGCCTGCCTTTCAACCCAAATCTCCTTGCAGCCATAAGTATTCTCTGAAAAACTGTTGCGTGTCAGTGTCCTGGGCTATAAATACCTTGTTTGCTTTTGTGTTAAAATAGCACCACCCCCGCCAAGTCCCACCCCTGCCCAGGCTGGTATGTGTTGGCTTACGTGGCCCTGTGGGTCCATGTGGCCAGGATGCAGCCTGCTCCGCTGCCTATCGGGGCCAGAGAGGGTCCTGGGTGGCAGTCTCTGGGCCCAGCTGAGGACGGCAAAGTGATCGGGGACTTGGGGAGGGTATTTGGGCCCGGCTGGCCTGCTGAGCCCACATGCCCCTGGGGTCCAGGCTGGTGGGGTGCTGTGGGGTTTGGACCATGGAGGGGGACACCCAGCAAGCAGGAGCTGGTCTCCAGGGCACCATGGAGGGACGGTCCTGAGCATCGCACTGCCCAGCCACCAAGACCTGAGCATCAGTCCCCAGAAGACAGCTGCCCCCACTTGGGGCCATGTGACTGCCACCACACTGCCCTCAGAGCCTTCTCCCTGGCTCTGCCCCAGGGCCAAGGGCCACTTGTCACAGCCCGAGAGGCTCTGAGGCTCTGGCACTCCACGTGGACGATGGCCCGCCTGTCCCTCCAGCAGTCTCCCAGGGCATGACCCCACTGTGGCTGAAGTGCTGTTTCCAGAGGACACCAGCTGAGTCTCACACACCTCCCAGCAGGTGGCTCCCACCTTAGACACTTCACACACTGACCACCTCGCACACTCACAAGCTGAGGGGAGTCCAGGTTGCTATCAGCTGCCCGTAAATTAGGGGTGCTCTCCTGGACCGTCCAGGGACCCAATGTAACCATAGGCCCTTGTAAACGGGAGAGAGGAGGCAGAAGCGACAGGGCCCAGGGCTGAGGGAGCGGAAGTGGCCAGGACACAGCCTCACACCCTGGGCCTCGGATGGAGCCACCCTGAGACACTGGGAAGCCAGCACCCAAGCCTGGGGGCCCATTTAGACCCTGGCTGCTCTCAGGTCCCAGGATTGGACAATCATCACAGCAGCCACCGGGCTGTGGGTCAGGGAGACCAGTGCCTGGTGTCCTCTGACTCATGAGTCCTGGCCCAGATGACCCCAAGGGATCACCCAGGTGAGAGAGCACCCCTTGTTGAGGGTACACAGTGTGGAGTTGTGGGGGAGGGGACTGGCATGCAGCTAGGCTAACAGTGGGTGACCAGCCTGGCCTCGCTCCCGGCAGCTGGGCACTGGGTGTGCATGGAAGTTTCTTTTCGTCTGAGAAATCACATTGGAGCCTGGCTGGGAGTAGGTGGGGTCACTGTGGAGCCCCTCCCCCCACCCTCTACTAGGAGGGGCAGCCCAGTGGCCAGGGGAGAGCTGTGAGGGGCGTGGATTTGGCTCACTGTATGTGTGGTCTCAGCTGCTGGGGTCAGGCCAGGTCTGCAGTGTCTGTCCCTATCTGACCCCATGCTCACAGGAAGCAGCCCCCCCACCTCCCCACAATGCAGCTGCTCCGTTGGTCCGGTCCGTTGGTCTGTTTTCTGCGCTCAAGTTGTTTCACAAGCTTTCCAGTGACTGCTTCTTTTGCAGTGGACTGTAGAGTCCTTCGTAGTCGGTTTGGTCCAGAAGCTCCGCTGACACCTGCTCACCTGGGTGGCCCTACCGGCATCTGAAACACCAGTGCTCTTCCATGTCCTGCAAGTTCAGTGAAAGGGGCTTGTTCACGGGGGGGCAGGGTGGTGGCACCCAGACTGCAGCCTGGCGTATGTTCCGTGTGTGTGCTGCAGGTGTGCATCGTGCAGAAGCGGGACACGGAGAAGATGTACGCCATGAAGTACATGAACAAGCAGCAGTGCATTGAGCGTGATGAGGTCCGAAACGTGTTCCGGGAGCTGGAGATCCTTCAGGAGATTGAGCACACCTTCCTGGTCAACCTCTGGTGTGTTCGCCTGCCCGAGGCTGCCCAGGAGTGCCCTCCCTAGTGACCCCTGCACCACGTCCTCGTCCCGCCCTCTTGACTCTGCCATACCCTCACCTTCCCATGCCCCAGGTCCACTGGGTTCCAGGCCCATGGGCAAGCTTAGCTTAATGCAACTCCTCGCCTGGACCTGTAGGAAGCCCAGGGCTTTCCCACAGAGAAGCATGTGGCCCGTGAAACTTCTGGCACCACAATCAGGAGAAGAGACATGAGGGGCCTGATTCTGAATGTGCTTCTTAAGATGGATGCAAAGACCAACCCACCACCATCCTCATTATAACCATCATTCCATTACCTATTATCACCCCATCCCCATCATCCCTACCGTTTTCACCACCATCACCCCCATCCGCATCCCCATTACCACCATCATCTTCCCGATCATTATCATCATCTCTGTTAACATCATCTGTCATCATCATCACCATCACCATCACCATCATCATCATCATCATCATCATCTCTGCCATCATCATCACCATCACCCCCATCCGCATCCCCATTACCACCATCATCCTCCCCGTCATTATCACCTCTCCATCATCTGTCACATCAACATCATCTCTGTCATCATCATCACCATCATCATCATCATCATCTCTGCCATCATCATCTCTGTCATCATCATCATCATCATCATCATCATCTCTGCCATCATCATCATCATCATCATCATCATCAACATCATCATCATCATCATCACCATCATCATCATCATCATCATCTCTGCCATCATCATCATCATCTCTGCCATCATCATCATCATCATCACCATCATCATCTCTGCCATCATCATCATCATCATCATCATCAACATCATCATCATCATCACCATCATCATCATCATCATCATCACCATCATCATCATCATCATCATCATCTCTGCCATCATCATCATCTTCGTCAGCATCATCATCTGTCATCATCGCCATCATCACCCATCCCCATCCCCATTATTACCATCATCTCGTCGTCATCATGATGCCACCGTGTTCTTCACTCCCATGACCACTGCTATCTTCCTCCCCATCACTGTCATCTGTCACCATCATTCCCATGATCGTTTTCACCCCATGACCATGACCTCATCACCATTATCATCGTTCCTATCATGATGTCATCATCATCCACACCAGCCCTCCTCGTCTTCCTCATCACCCCACCACCGTCATCCCCATCCCTAGGACCACTGTTATCATCGCCACGCTCACCCTCGTCGTTCACACTGTCATCGTCCCCATAACCTCCACTCTCGTTACCACCCCACCCCACCATCACCTCTCCTTATCCTCATCCCTAACACCATTAACACCATCCTCCTGACCAGTCATCACCCCTTAATCCCTGTGATCCCCAACGCCCTCCTCTTCCTCCTCATCTCCATTGTCACCGCCCGTTCCCTACGTCACTGTCCCCGCCACCCCCTTGGGCCACAGGTACTCCTTCCAGGACGAGGAGGACATGTTCATGGTGGTGGATCTGCTGCCGGGCGGGGACCTGCGCCACCACCTGCAGCAGAAGGTCCAGTTCTCCGAGGCCACAGTGCGGCTCTACGTCTGTGAGCTGGCCCTGGCCCTGGACTATCTGTGCAGCCAGCACATCATCCACAGGTGTGCGCACCTGGGGTGGGGTGGGCGGGGCACGGGCCTTGGACCACCCAGGTTGTGCTGGTGGGGCCCAGATGGGGAGCGGTGGTTTGAGGACACTCCCTCCCTCTCTCTTCGTGCAGAGATGTCAAACCTGACAATATTCTCCTGGATGAGCAAGGTGAGCGGTGAAGGGGAGGGTGATAGGGATGGTGTGTGCCCTGCCCACAGGGACACTCTGGTTTCGGGGCCCGCTGTCCAGCCACCCCTCCCCCTACAGGACATGCACATCTGACAGACTTCAACATCGCCACCATCATCAAGGATGGGGAGAGGGCAACGGCACTGGCTGGCACCAAGCCCTACATGGGTAGGTACCCGCTGCTCTGACAACATCCACCTCACTGTGCAGGCGTCCTGGTCCAGGCCTCCCAGAACAAGCTGGGGACGTCGGGAGAGCTGTGTGCTGCTCAGTGGCGAACCCACACTCCTGGGCCTGGCTGGCCTGTGCAGTGTCCATGCTCTGCCCCTGGGAGGGCTAAGGGCAGGAGTGCTGGGCGCAGCCAGGTCTGCAGGCTCCCTGATCAGTGCCTTTCTCTTTCTGCTGACAGCTCCCGAGATCTTCCAGTCCTTCGTCAGCGGTGGGACTGGCTACTCCTTCGAGGTGGACTGGTGGTCAGTGGGGGTGATGGCATATGAGCTGCTTCGAGGATGGGTATGGAGCTGACAGCAGGATGCCTATGCCCAGGGGTGACTGCTGCTGACCAGGGGTCCTGGGTTCTGGCAAACAAATGAGGCATAGCTCTCCCAGTGCCGGGAGGTGGGGGTGGGACATTTTCTTGGAACTTCCTGGAGATCCCTGGGACTGTGCTGTCCTCCCTGCCCCCAGGGGGTCTTGGGTTCCACACACCCAGCACCCAGAGGCCCTGGGACCCAGAAAGGCAGGCCTCTCCTCTGTGCTCCAGGCTGACCCCTGGAACCCTGGTAGGAGAGCAGAGTGATGGTCAGCTCTCGCTGCCTGGCCTGGTGTGGTGCTGGGGGAGGGGCCAGGGGCAGGCTCTGCCTCTGTGCTGTCCCCTGATCACACTCAACTTGCACTTGCTTGTGTATGTTTGGGAGCTGGGAGTGGGGGTCGGGTGTGCTTCCCAGCTCTGCTCTGAGTGCCATGGGGTTTCTAACCGCCTCCTGCCCACAGAGGCCTTACGACATCCACTCGAGCAACGCCGTGGAGGCCCTGGTGCAGCTCTTCAGCACAGTGAGCGTCCAGTACGCGCCGACCTGGTCCAGGGACACGGTGGCCCTGCTGAGGAAGGTGGGTCAGCACCCCGGTGTGAGGCCCTGCAGCCCACTCAGCTCCAGGGTTTAGGAGGGAAGCCTCAGTTCCCAGGACCCTAGGGAGTGGGGGTCACACGTGTTGCCCAGCACCAGTGCCCTCAGGGTCCCCCACCCCCACCACTGTGCTCAGGGCCTGGACCAGCATCCTTTACTCTGAGTCAGAGGTGAGCGGGCGAGAACCGTGTGTCAGGGCACCACCTCCCCGTGGCAAGTGTCCCTGCAGCCAGCCTCCTGGGGCCATCCTCCCAACCGGGCTGTGGCCAGACCCTCTCAGGCTGAGCTGGCTGGGCCCGGTCACTGCTGACCGGGCTGCTTTGGCTGCATGACCCCTGGCCGATGGCCTCACTGCAGCTGCTGACCGTGAACCCTGAGCACCGTATCTCCAGCCTGCGGGACATGCAGGCAGCCCCCGCGCTGGCCTGCGTGCCCTGGGAGGACCTGAGTCAGAAGAAGGTGGAACCTGGCTTTGTGCCTAATGTGAGTGGGCCCCTCCCTGCCCAGCGGGGTTGAGGGCACCTGGGGGGGGGGGTCAGCCCAGCTGCTCAGAGCTGTCCCCACAGAAAGGCCGCCTGCACTGCGACCCTACCTTTGAGCTGGAGGAGATGATCCTGGAGTCGAGGCCCCTGCACAAGAAGAAGAAGCGCCTGGCCAAGAACAAGTCCCGGGACAACAGCAGGGACAGCTCCCAGTCTGTGAGTGGGGGCGGGG